AGAAAAGACAGCAAGCGAGGCTGGGAGAAACTTTACCGCAGGCTTCATTAGCTGCTGCAGAGGAAGCTTTGGATACCTGGTACATGATGAAGCGCAGCATCACCGGCTGATCTCCAGCTCTGGCAGAGCCCTCCAATTGTTGCCTCCCCCCTCCCCCCCCCCTCTGTCGGGAACCGGCTCAGAAAACACTGGAGAAGAGCCCAGAAAAGGGACAGCCCTGTCTCTGCTAATGGAGATTCATCTCCTCTCCTTCCAGTTTGCTGGCTCTCGCCATAACTCACTGCCAAGGGTGGGAGGAAGCACCCCATTGGTGGCCATTAATGGAACGGCCCCCAAGCGTGTGGCATTGGGAACGGGCAGGTTTCCAAGAAGCGTTGCCCTCTGAGCTGAGTCCTGCCTTTTCACTGTGCAAATCTGGCCTGGAAGGAACGCAAGACTGTAATTGGGAGAGAAGATCAGGGGAAAGCAAGAAACAAGGAGAAGTCAGTTCCTACCATTCCTTGCTCACTTTAGAATTTTGCTCTGCACTGGCTTCGATGACTCGGTCGTTCCACTTGAACTAGGGAAATCTGAAACTCTATGATCAGAATCAGATCCAGCGCCGCGTGCCTGTTCGTTCCGTTCATCTGCATCTCTCTGCCTTCTGCTACCGATGTAACCGTGTACATGGATTAAGCAGAGCTAAATTTACTCAAGGTAAAAAGCAGCTGTCAGCAGCAGCAAGACCCAAAATGATTCATGAAATAATAACTTTCATGAGAACCAGCCATGACACAAAACAGGGTGCTGGCTTCGGAGTTCACGAGAACTCTTCTTCAGGCCGGATCATAGGCGTAATCTTCGTGGGGGCGGCGGGGCTTCAGCCCCTGCCGAAATTTTCAGGAAGGTACTCAGCCTCCCCCGGGAGCCACCCTTGCGCCTAGCAAAGCAATGCCTCTGGCCCAGCTCCAGCCCCCCCCGGGAAATTGGAAAGTCTACACCCTTGCGCCGGATGTTACTACACACACACACACACGTACGTGAAAGGCAGTCCTTTCTTGATAGCCCTTCACCATCCAACTAGAGCAGGGGTGTCGAACTCATTTGTTATGAGGGTTGGATCTGACATAAATGAGACTTTGTTGGGCCAGGCCACGTGTGTCATAAAATGTAATGCCAGGTAGCGGAGATATAAACTTTATAAAGGACACGAACACAAAGGGTTTTTTTTTTACTTAAAATAAAAGCATGCTTAAAACATTAGTTCTGTAAGCTGCAAACCTACTTTTGATTTATTGACATTCACCACAGAAATCGCATGCTCAAGGTTCTGAGTCTAGGACCCAGGTTAGAACATGAAATGGCTGAGCGATTAAGAGTCTAGCGAAGCAAGCTATGATGCAGCAGTGGCAGCAGCAGAACTGGAAGCAGGAGATGCCCAGTTACACTGCGGGCCTGATGGAAGCCCTCCGGGGGCCTCATCCGGCCCCCAGGCTGCATGTTTGACACCCCTGAACTAGAGCATGCACCCCCCCCCACAACATGGTGGCACCCATGGCGTTTTAGCTTGTTTGATGTTGAGTTTCAAGCCAACTTTTGCACTCTCCTCTTTCATTATCAGCAAGAGACTCTTTAGATCCTCTTCATTTTCTGCCATTAGAGTGGTATCGTCTGCGTATCTGAGGCTGTTGATGTTTTTCCTGGTAATCTTAATTCTGGCTTGTGATTCATCCGGACCGGCATTTCGCATGATGTACTCTGCATATAAATTAAATAAGCAGGGTGACAATATACATCCTTGCCGTACTCCCTTTCCTATTCTAAACCAATCAGTTGTTCCATGTCCAGTTTGGTTAGTTAGAACTGGACATGGACATGGAGGTACAGATAGTCACTAGTAAAAGGATGCAGAATGCCATTCGTTGGGAAATGAGAAACATAATGTAGGACACACACACATACACACAGGTCTCCCTCTCTCTCACCTGGTTGTTTTAGCCAGCCCTCACCCCCCTCCCCCACTTTGGAAGTTAAATTGTTCCATGTGTCACTCACACAGAAGCCTTTCCAGAGAGTCAAGACGGCCACTGGTGCAGATGGCCTGACATGCAGGCAGATGGGCTGGGACCTCCGTTGACGTCTCACTACTAAAACGGACACTGATTTCCCTAATAGGATGTGTCTTCCGGGACAGAGGGAGGGGGTGCCAGGAATGGCAGGCCATTAGTCTGCCTGATTCTGCCTCTCCAGCTGTGATCAGCCATCGCCGTTGACAGCTCTCCTCAGCAGGCATCGACCCCAAGCAGGCTGTGTGGGGAACAAATGGGCAGTATCTTGTTTGGAACTGAACTGTAAAATACAACCCAGTGGGGGCACAGGAAGGATAAGGCTCACTCATGGGGTCTAAGGAGGCTTTTCCCTTTGGGCCGCTACCCAGTTGGGCAGAGTGGCAGCGCCTATCCAAGGCCTCAGAGAGGAGCCTTGTCCAGATCCTTTTGGGACTGATGCAGCACCACGCACATGCACAAGATGCTTTAGAGGAGGGGTCTCCAACATGGTTCCCATGGACACCACCGACACCTTCCCTGGTGCCTGATGAGTGTTTTCAGAAAGTGGGTGGGGCCGTTGGCCCAGCAAGGCTTCTGATTGGATGTGCAGCTTTTAAAAAACATTGCTTCAGCGGCAGCTGCCACCACCCCACAAGGGATCTTCATGGGTGTGAATGAAGGTCAGCTGCAGCAGCCGTTTTGTAGCTGGTTCTGCCTTCTGCATCGGCCACCACGTGGTGGCCACTTTGCAGACAGGCTTGCAGTCTAAAATTGGGCACATGGGAGGAAACAAAGGGTGTGTGTGTGGGGGGGGGAGAATTTCCTCTGTTGCCCATTCTCTCACCACCATGGCTCTTTGCAGGGAACAGCTCCTCCCTGTCGGAAATTCCCCAACATGAATACTGGCAGGCTGGGTCCACCAGACATTGGTCCGCAGTAAAAACGGTAGAGAAATGGATCTGCTGAGAACAGAAGGCTGCAGCCAAGAAATGAACAGATTTGTTCCAGCCAAACATCGGGAGGGTGGACTCTGCCCTCTGCTCCTTCTTGGCCCTTGAGGTGGGTTTGGGCTCATCTGCTCATGAGGAGACGGGATGAGCCGCAGCTGGCCAAAGTCTGCTTTGATGCAGCTCAAGATTAAGGTTGTGAAGCGCAGGTCTCCCAGCCCCTTTCTCTCAGGGCACTCTTATGCACACTGAATAAATACACTTTTAGCCCACTTTGCAACTGGATTTTGCTTTGTGAAATGGCAAGATCTACTCATCGATGATCGCTGAAGTACGCCGTGCATTGAAAATGGGATTGAAAGTGCCTCCAGTCTTCCTGCTCTTTATGTATGGCCCCTCCTCACTCCTTAGTTGTGTAGCCATTCCCCACCTCCACCCCCACCAGCCTTTCCAGCACTGTTGCCTTCCCCTCCCCCTGGCATCCTGCGGCTTCTCTGGACCTTGAATGGCTGGGTTTCTTCAGAACTCCTTGCTCTCCTGGGCCTCAGTGGCCCTTTCCTCAGCTGCCTTATACTGAACCAGACCCTCAGTCCATCACGGTCAGTCTTGTCTACTCAGACCTGCAGTGACTCTGAGTGGGTCTTAGGCGGAGGAAGGTCTTTCCCATCTCCCCTTTTAACCTGGAGATGCTGATGGGGACCGGACTTGGGACTTTCTCCATGCCAAGCAGACCCTCCCCCACAGCTCCTCTTCCATTGCCAACTCCGCACTCGGGCCCGGTTCACACGTGGAGGAGGAAGAGGCGGCAGAGAGCTGAAGCAGCCGAGTGAACGGCACTGCTTTGGACTGCGGGGGGGAGGAGCAAGGTGTGGAAGGACACCCCCGTCCCCATTACACTGAAACAGGGGTCATTTTGTAGAAAGAGGTGCAGGAGCTCATTAGCATAACTCATTTGCATATGCCACACCCCCTGACATCACCGGAAGTGTGTCAGAAGGCAACACCCACCACTCAGGCGCCACTGGACTGTTTTGAATTGCTAGCTATTGGGGGGGGGGGAAACGTGCAGATCTCTGTCCTTGCAGAGGAGGGAGAGCTTGTACCTGAATAAAACTTTGTCTTAAAGGTGGCTCTGGACTGTTTTGGACTGGGGGGAGCTCTGCAACTTACCTGGCTGCTTCTTGCTCTGACTGAGGGCTGCTGGGAGCAGGGGGTGGGGCTTGTTGCATGTACCCGCCCCCTGGACTCTTTACTGCCGGAGCTCCGCTCCTGTGCGCTCCTGCAGGAAATGACCCCCACAATGAAAACTCCCTGCCGCTAGAAAACCCGGGCAGCAAACAATGCGAGGGGGAACAGGAGCTTTCTCCCTCCCAGCGCTTAATCTGATTTTGGTATTTATGCAACAGTCTCAAGGTGAACAGGTCATTCTCCCTCAGGGTTCCCTCTCTCACTCCGTCCTTCCTCCAAGAAGTCTGGCGCTCGCGGTTCCTCCCATCTCCACTTCATCCACATTTTTGAGGCATGTTAGGCCAAGACAGAATGATTTGCCCGAGGTTATCTTGTTCTCACTTCTGTCAACCAGACCTCAGTTCCCCTTCCTCTATTTCTTCGTGTGTATCCTCATTGTTTCTGGCTACAGACCGTATTTATTATTAGATTTTTATCCCGCCCTCCCAGCATTCCACCTTCCACAGTCCTCAGCCTCCCCACTCCTCTCCTGAAGGCCAGTGTGTAGTTTTCGGCCCAGCCAGACTGTCAAAATTTCCCCTTCCCTCCCACAAGCTGGGCTGCAAATCCTACCAGCACCTTCACTGCCAGAAAAGTTTGGAATGTTCATGAACATTCCGTGACACCAGACCAGCCTAATCAGTGACTGGAGCTTTTCCATAACTGGCAGAAGACAATATAGACTTTGCACATGGGGGGATAAAGAGGGGAGTGGGGGGGGTGGAAATGACCGAGCTGGAAGACAAGTCATTGATCTATTTACTTGAACATTAAAATATACATACACAATTCAGAGGGGAGAAGGGTGTGATGGAATGAACATCAAACTTGGATGTGCCGTCCTGCAACCCACCCTTCCTTTCATCTCTCTCCCAACGCAACCCCTCCTGACCTTTATGGGTTGAATGAACAACTTGTTCATGGGAATGTGCTGATTTCCCCCATTTCCTTCCAAATCCCTCTCAAAAAACACAGCTATTGGAGCATCTTGTTCTATTTTGTTAAGTCCAAATTATGAGCTTTACTGTTCTTGGTGCAGCTGTTGGTGGGGAAAGTTTTACTAATGGTGATGTCAATTTCCTCACTTTGTCAACCGGAGGAGCAGTCACTCGATCTTCTCTCTAAAATGCCAATGGGAACTTGGTCGAACACACCACAAGCACCCCTGCCTGAGGGGTGTTGGTCGGTCAGCCCATCCATCAAAAGGTCTGCTTCCTGCTGCTAAAGTTTGCTGGTATCAATGCAACTGAGAGGAGAAGCAAGGGTGGAAGGTGCCGATTTGCTGAATGGCACACCGGGTCAGTTCAGAAAAAAACTGCAAGCCCATTTTCATGGCAGAAGTGTTTGGGAAAGGAAAAAACAAACATGACACATGCTGACAGCCAGAAAGTCTTCTTTTTCCACTCTCCATCTGCAACTAGATCCATCTACCATGAAGGGATGGGAACCCAGTCAGGGCCACGGGCTCAGCCCTTCTGCCTCCGATCTGGGGATAGTCAATCACTCTGACTGTCCTCGCTGTCCGAGTAGGCCCCCAGGAGGCTTAGCGAAGAGGAGCCCAGTGTTCTTGACCCCGAAGCACTGCTGGCCTCTGTGCTCTGACTCCCAGCAGCTAGGAACCAAAGAGAAGGATACTGTCATGAACTGGAAAGAGGACCCCCCTCCCCTGCAAGAAGATTGAGACCTATTGCCCCTCCCTAAATCCCACATGGCTCTACCTCCGTAGATAGTGACAATGGCCTGTGATGTCACTGGCTCCTCCCTATGATGTCACTGGGCCCTGTTCTTTTAAGGACCTAGCATAGGTCCTCTGGCCCAGCCCCAGTCCCCTGCCCGAGGAAATTGGAAACTCTACACCCCACCTCAGAATTCTACCACCACATTCTGTTGGAGTTGAAGATGGGACTTTAAATAACTCTCAGGAATTCGATTCCATACTCCTGTAGACTGATGGTCTCTAATCTTTGCAGATCCTAGAACATCCTCCAGCCCACAACATGAAAACTACTGACTGTTTACCATGTGACAACCTTTACTGTACCCCCGCACCCATCTCTCATAGGATGACTGAAGACCCAGATCAGACCATCACCATGACAAGAGAGAACGACAAGATAAGGATATCCCTCTCCGGTCAAAAACTGTTTGGGATGTACTTGGATAAAACGTCAGGGTTCAAGTTACTGAATGAGACTAAGGAACAAATATTGCATACCACCCAGTAAAAAAGGATCGAATAGGGCACATTTGGCTGTGCACACAATAAGGGTCAAGAAGACCACTAAGGGGGACCATCGTGCCTTAGCCAGTGGGTTTGCCTCTTGGAATGCACAATCGGCCGCAATCAGGATTGTACTTGGAGAGTCACGCTGAACTGAACCCTTCCCCCCCCCCCAAATGGTGTGAGGCAGGGTGATGGACAAGAGGGGCCGCCAGCCTGTCTATGCCAGCCTGTCTATGCCAGTCTGTCTATGCCGCACTCATCAGACTTCCCCTGGAGCCTTGCATCCAGGGCTGGGGGTGGGGCTTTGAGAAGGGTGCAGGCAGAGGAGGGCAATGAAGAGAGTCGGGCACATGGTAGACAAAGGACCCAGAGGAGGCCGAGCGGGGAAGCGATCACACTTCTCAAAAGTCAGAAGGGCCATCCCATGGAAGAGGGCAAAGATTAGCTCTCTGCTGCATCAAACAGACTTCAGCTGCCAGAGGGGAGATTTCACAGCGGCCATTAGGAGACACTTCCTAAGCTTAAGAGCAGCTGGACAACATGGTTCATGAAATGCTTCAAAAAGTGCTAAAAATACTGTGCCGTATAAACCAGAACTGCTTGTTAAATATAACTCTGGAGACAAGACTTTCATATTACTATCCATATTGTAACAGCAGCAAGGATGATATATGTGAAATATTGGAGAAGGAATGAAGTCCCTACAAAACAAGAAGTTATTGCTAAAATACTGAAACGGCTGAAATGAACAAACTGATTATGACATTAAGAGGAAAGAGCAAAGAAGAATTTCAGAACACATGGTCACGATTCTATCAAGGGTTAGAAGAAAATAAAACATAAACTTCTGGATTTCTAACCTAAATAAACAGACTTATGAAATATAGTTTCAACTATTAATAAAAGGTTCATAAGGTATATAATGAACATATAATATGAAAAATATGACTGCTAGTTATGAGGTCAAAGAAACTGAAAAGGGAAAATCACATGATATGTTGTTTGTTTGTTTGATTATGTCTATAAAATTAAAAAATCTTCAAAACAAGGAACAGCTGGACAACATAACCCATCACATAGGTGGGTGCATGTGGGAGAGTCCTATGATCCATCACAGCTGCTCTTATGTTCTAACTGATTCAGAAAGTGTCCTCCCCCTGCAAACGGCTCAGGTTCAAAGCAATCAAGAGATTTCCCCCTCCCCACTTTAAACTGGGTTCTGTTTCATGAAAAGAATGTCTCTGAGCTGGTTTGTGGAGGAGGACTCAGGGCCTGCCTGACGCCCTGACTGCAGGTATTGCAACTGCTCATTCCATCAGCAGCTGGCTGATGGAATGAGCAGTTGCAATACCTGCAGTCAGGCACAGCAAGTTGAGCTGATCTACCTTCGAAGAACTCAGCTCCTCCCTTCCAAAGACCAGGGCCCTGGTCCTCCCCCCTCCCCCCCTCAGGGCTTCCATCATTACCTGAGCCCACCGGCCCATTCTGAGCCCTGGTTCCATTGGTGCTGCTGTGTTCCAGCTTCCTCTTGGTCGCCACCAGCCCCGAGAGTGTGGCCTTGGTGGACAGCTTGCCGATGCTCCTCTCCCAGCATTCCACCTTCAGCTTTTTGGCCTGGGGCTCCGGATCCTGGGGTGGCGGGGACACGACACAGAAAAAGGTTCAGACACCTGCTTAGGGTTTCTGCAAGAGCTGCTAAACTGAATCAGCAGCTGAAGAGCTGCACGAGGAATGAAATTTTTATAGAAGTGGGAAACAGAGAAGAGAGCTTGCTTTGCATGCAGAAGGGCCCAGGTGAAAGCAAACGGGACAGGAAAGGCGACTTTTTGCCTAAGGCTTTCGAGAGCTGTGGCCAGCTGGAACAGGAAACACTGGATACGTAGATAGAATCGAGCCCCGGAGCATCTTGGAGACCAACAAGGTTTTTCAGCGTGAGCTTTGGAGAGTCAGAGCTCCCTTTGTCAGGCATGAAGCTCCTAAAGGTATCTGATGAAGGGAGCCTTGACTCTTGGAAGCTTAAGCCCCCCCCCCAAAAAAAACCCCTTCTCGGCCCCTGTAGTGCTCCTGCAATCAATTCTATCTGTTCTACCGCAGACCAACATGGCCACTACTCCGAAACTATCTTACTGGATACTCAGCGTAAGATGCCCCGACCAAGAGCCTACACCTGGACTTTCACAGCGTTGCATCGTGTTCAGTGAGTCACACTACGACCTGGAAGACCCAGCTTCAACCGCCCACGCTGCCACCGAGCTCGCGGGGTGGGCCCCTCCAGACTTCCCCCCTGACCTGCCCAGTACCAAGCACCTTACTCCTCAGAGAGCCTCACCCGGCTGCAAAGGGCCCCGGGTGATGTGGGGCCAGACCCAACAGATCCTGGGCCAGACCCATCTACCTCACAGGACTGTTGCGAGGATGACACCAGGGAGGGAGAACCAACTACGGTGCTCCGAGCTCCTTCAAGAAAAGGAATTATACAGACAGACTAGATCAATAACTGTATCTCAGGGACAGAGCACATGCCTTCTAGAAGGCGGTCCTGGGCCCAGGATCAGTCCCCAGCATCTGGGCCAGCTTCTTACCAGAGACCTTGACGTGCTGCTGCCATTTGGAGCAGTCAGTCCTGGGCCGAATCGACCGGCAGTCTGGCTCAGGAGACGTCCTTGAATATATTTACAGGGAGAGCCCACTGCTTAGGGGTGAAGCACACCAAGAGGGCTGAATCAGTGACCTTCAGTTGGGAACTGCTATCTTAGTGGAAGGAGAAATCATCCAATTCCACGCTAACTAGTTTCTGAGATGCCCACAGACTTCCTAGCACACCTTGACCGGCTCACTCTCAACCTCCTCCCTTCAGGCAGCCTCCAACCAGCCTCGTTCTTTCTTTCTCAGCCTCCCCATCCATAACGTCTGCAGAATTAGAGAGTCTCCTACAACGGGCGATGACAACGTGCTGCCCGTGGACACTGAAAGTGCTCCTGAATGGCTAGGTATTACAGCTGTTCTGAAATGAACAAGATGGAACTCAAAGGCAAAACACAAAGGTTTGCACACAGGCAAAAAGTATCAAATGTACAGGCGTAGGATTAGGGGTGTGTGTGTCTAAGCAGCAGGGTCGCAGGTGACTGCAAGCTGAACGTGAGCCGGCAGTGTGATGCGGCTACAAAACAGGCCAAAGCGATTTGACATTGTGTTAAGAGATGCATAGGCAAACAGATTCAGGTGCGTAGCTGTGTTCGTCTGAAGCAACTGAACGAAGTCTGAGTCCAGTGGCACCTTTAAGGCCAACAAAGTTTAATTCTGGGTATAAGCTTTTGTGTGCTCAAACTCTGATCTATAGTCAGACAAAGTAATAGCTTCATTCTATTGTGGGCTAGTCAGACTTCATCTGTAGTTCTGAGTCCAGTTCTGGACGCCACACCTAAGGAGGATGTAGACAAACTGGAACGGATTCAGAGGAGAGCACCCAGTTGGCCGGTGGTCAGTAAAACAAATCCCAGGAAGGAAGGTTGAAGGAACTGGGTGTGTTTAGCTTGGAGAAGATTTTTTTTTTGGGGGGGGGGAGATGACCCCACTCTTCAAACACCTGAAGGGCTGAGACAAAAAAAGAGGGTGAAGGTGTACTCTCTGCTGCTCCGGAGAGCATGTAGGTATAATGGGCTTATGTTACTATGAGGAAGATTTCAGCTGAATGTTGGGAGAAACTTTCCTAATGGTGAGAACAACCATGAAACCAACTGCCTTGGGAAGGGGGGGGGCACTCCCTGGCTGGGGTCTCCAAGCAGAGGTCAGACAGGCTCCATTTTTTGATGTTCCACACTGAGCAGGAGGCCGAACTAGGCGATCCCTAAGGCCTTTCTGACTTGACAGCAGCTTCTCCCGTAGTCGATGACCCTGAGTTTTGGTACGGCTTGTGCCTGAGGCAAGACCCAAACAGACGTCTTGAAAGTCCCCACCCCCACAGAGCAGAAATCCTTCTGCCACTGCCATTGGGATGGAGGACACGGGGCCCTCGCTACCTACCTCCTGCAAGATGTCTGTAGGTTTTGCTTTCGTTAGCGTCTTGGCAGGGGCCTGAGCGGGGTCTTCGTCAGAATCAGAGTCTTCCAGCAGCCGCCTGGCCTGGGCCTGCTCCAGCATGGCTCTGCCAACGGGAAAGGAGTGAGGGTGAGGCACGTGAAGAGTCCAGAACTGTCCCTAGGCTGGCCCCTTCCCCTCCTGCCGTAGCCTCCGCCTTCTTCTCTCTGCTCCCACCCTCTTTCCAGGCCGTCTCTTAGGTCAGAACCTGAAGGTGGGGCAGGCTTCTTTTGATCTATGACACCAAGCCCCAGTCATTTCTTTAATGCCACTCCAGGTGTGTGTGTAGGTGTGTGTGTGTATAAACAGCCCTGATGTGGAAAACTCCAGGTAGTCCAATTTTGTCAGATCTCAGAAGCTAAGCAGAGTCGGCCCCTGGTTAGTACTTTGAATGTGAGACTGCCAAGAAAGTCCAGGGTCACTACCCAAAGGCAGGCGAACACGAACCACCTCAGAAGATCTCTTGCCTTGGAAACTTTCTCCTTAAGTCGCCTGCAACCTGACAGTGCTTTCCATCACCATACACACACACACACACACACACACACATATAAAAACAACCCATGAACCAAAGAAACAAAAATATCCCCCTGAGCTCTTGGGACGGAAAGGTGAGAAGGCAATGTCAATATTTTGGGCATGTGCCACAAAGGCAGTGGCGGGGCAGGGTAGGAGGCCAACCCCCACGCTCGCTCGGCTGAAAGGAGCTCCTGCTTACTTCATCTCCCTCTCGTCCTCCTCTACTGCCAGCCGCTTCTGCTCTTCCTCGTAATCCTTGTACTGTTGCAGCATGGATTCAAAGTCCACGTGGGCCTGGCGCTGGTTCAGCTCCTTCAGCTCCTGCAGGTTCTCCAGAACCTCCATCTCCAGCTTGGAGTCTTTGGTTCTGTTCTCCAAAACCTAGCACGAAAAGCAGAGGTGCCTGCTGAGAGCTGGCCTGGGTAAACTGAGAAGCAATCCCGGGGGCACGAGGGATTTGGCTTCTGTGACCGACACAGCCTGCTCTGCCCGGCATCAAAACGACTTCAGGGATTTCTTTATTTATTTATGTACTTGCGGGCGGTTGTAAAAGCAGAAACAGAAGACTTTGCTTCGGATCCCGTAAAAGAGATGCAAGACGTCCAACTGCTCCTGCAGCAGATGCAATTGGACAACCAAACACAGGAGATAAAGTCTGGTCCAAAGCTGACTTCAGAAATACTGACTTTATCATTTTGCAAATTTATTGTTTTAGAATGATTTCATTCGACACGGTCACTTTTACTAAGGCCCACGGTCAAACAAAGCGAGTAATCACTAATTTGGCCTGCAATTATTTCTTTACCTGATTTCCATTCTGCCTTTCTCCCCAGCGGGGACCCAAAGTGGTTTACATCATTCTCTCCTCCTCTGTCTTTTCCTCACACAACAACCCCGTAAGGTATGTTAAGAGTGGGTGACTGGCCCAAGGTCACCCAGCAAATTTCCATGGCAGAGTGGGGATTTGAACCCGGGTCTGTCAGATCCCAGTCCGACACTTTAAGCACTTCACACCACGCTGGCTTCCTATTAGGGATATAGGGAGTCATGCTTCTGGAACACAGTGGTCTAGAAACATGACCGAACAGACTGCTTGTCTGAAAAGCCCTGTTGGTTGGGTCCCATAGAAATACCTTCATGGGGTTGTTGAGCTCTTCATCTTCTCTTTCCTTCTGCAACCGCTTCTCCTCCTCCTCTAGCAGCTTCTCCGCTTGGAAGTTCCGTGTGGCCCCATGCTCCATGGCGTAGTCAGTGTTCTCAGGGTCTGTCTGTGCAAGACACAGGAGGGAACCATTTCAGTGATACACAAGCAGGGTTAGGAGATGCTTCCGCTCTAGCTAATTTGTAGTCTCGAGGCCACTTACCACAAAGTTACAGCAAGCCTCCCTAGCTGTATGTGAAAGAGAAAGAGTCCAGTAGCACCTTAAAGACTAACAAAAGTTGAGGCAGGGCATGAGTTTTCATACCCTGCCACAAATTTTGTTAGTCTTTAAGTTGCTATTAGCCTCTTGCTGTTTTCTACCGCTACAGACAAACATGGCTACCCATCTTGATCCAACAGCAGATGCACAGCCTCTCTGGAACACTCATCTGCACTGAAACAGGAATCTTCCCTCTTTCTCTTTTTTCTTTAACCTTGTAAACCCCAGCACAAATTCCAACCTCTTTCACTTCCAAAAAAATCTCCTTCATGTGCCGGAGGACTGGGAGGAGTGGAAGGGAATTGGTGGCAAACACAAAAAAAGCTGGCAAAGAAACTCAGCCAACATTTGTGGACCTCTGTATGCTGCCATGGAGCAGAGGGCAACATACAAGGGGTTTCCTGATAGACAGAATAGGCTGAGAGATAGCAACGAGTTTTGTGGCTGTGCAGAGATGTGGTTTCTCTGGGCAGCAGTCCAACACTGTACCTGCTTCACCATACTGGCATAAAGTGCATTCTGTTACAGCATGACTGTTCAAGCAACGAATGGACCACATGCACCATAAAAAGGATCAAGGCACATCAGACATGCCCAGTTCAGCACAGGAGGAAGAGAGCGAGTGGAAGAATCTTTACCTTGAACGTGATTTCCGCAAGGCAGCGGGTGCATTTGATATAAAAACGGAAGATGGGAAGCCCCAGGTAGGATTCACTTTGGACCGTCTCCTTCCGGGCATTGAACTTCTTGCCCTTGTAGATGTACTCTCCACACGTCTTGCACCTAATTGCAGCAAAAGGAACCATCAGGCCTGGTGTTTGCAAAGCACTTTCCAAGATCTACACACACACACCTACTGCAATCCTCATAAAAGTCCAGTAAGGCAGGCCGGTGTTATCATGCCCACACTACACATGGAAAAACTGAAGCTGAAAGACTGTTGCCATCTAGCTGGCTTTTGGTAGAGATGAGATTCAAACCAGGTTGTCCTTTATTGACCTACAAGCAAGCCCTATGAAGAAAGTCTGAGGAAATTGGGAATGTTCAGTCTGCAGAAGAGGAGGCTGAGGGAGAACAGGATTGCTCGCATGATTTGAAAGTCTGTCACTTACAGCAGAACAGGGAGCTGTACCTGTTGGCAGCAGAGGATAAGACTGGCAATAAAGGGGTTTAAATTACAAGAAAGATACTGTCTGGATATCAGGAAAAAAATTTTATGGTAAGAGTAGTTCAGCAGCGGAATCGGCTGCCTAGGGAGGTGATGAGCTCTCCCTTTCCGGCAGTCTTCAAGCAGTGGCTGGACAAACACCTGTCAGGGATGCTTTAGGCTAATTCTGCACTGAGCAGGGCACTGGACTAGATGACCTGAATGGCCCCTTCTAACGCTATGATTTGATGATTACTGATTTCCTCATCTTGTCCTTTCAGGTGTATGTTCTCTGGGTAAATGAGTAGAACAGACGTTGCAGTTACAAACAGGTAAGTAAGGTGATGAAGCTGGCAGCATATCCTGCCTTATTCCACGATATCAAGACATGGTGTTAAAACAATTTTTTAAAAGATTCTGTTTCCTAGAAGCCTGTATCAAAAGGCAAACTTTTTTTCTCTTGTGGTGATACTCACCAGTACTAAGTACTGGTACCTTTTAGGGGGCTCTCCAAAGTTCTGAGGGGGGGAATTAGTTGAAAACAGCGCAACCCAATGAGTACTGTCACCTTAAACCCCCCCTGAGAAAGTGGATGACAAAATGAAAGCCCAACCAGACAATGACCTTCACAAGATTTAAGAAATGAAACCCGTAAAGAGTGAATGAAGGAACTTAAATTCCCAGGGGAAAGGCATCCAGGGAGTCCATAATCTCTCCAGTTCCTACAAATAAACAAAATTATAACTCTTTAACCTTCCTTACACTAATAAAATAATGAAAGAATCCAGAGACCTGTAACCAAAGGTGCACCGACAATTTTCTAGAGGAAAGCAGATCTTTCTCTTACCGCATGTTAAAAGGAGCCATCAGCCGCACCACATATTGCCGGTCCTTTGGAAGTTTAAGCTTGGGGATTTTTGACGGATCAAAGTCCGGTGGGTAGTATTTCTAGGAGGCAAGGAAAGGAGCAATAGGTGAAGGTGTCAGATTCTGAGGGTTAGCTGCAAAAGTCATGCTGTAACTACTAACAATAGGTCATGACAGGACCCAGGGTCCAAAACCCCCCCCCCCAAAGACACTTCCTCTCACTGGACAGAAACACCCCCTACAGATGTCCCTCAAGCAACAGATGTCCCACAAATCCCTCCCCACACCAATGACAGCATGCCAACAACTTCCCTCAAAGACACCTCCCCAGTTCCATCATCTTATTGTCAACCTGCCCAAAGTCCCAAAGAACGACCAGTCTGTGCCAAACATCCTTCTCAGCCCGCCAAGCTTGTTCCAAAGACTGCCTATCCTATGTAACTCATGGAAACATACGAAAGTGTCTGCTACTGACTCATATCATCTAGCCCAAGTACACTTGGTTGATGGCTCCCCCCACCACCAATCATTTGAGCTAGAGATCCTGGGGTTTTAACTGGGCACATCTCCAGTTCATAAGACCTAGGGAAGAAGGAGCTATGCCACTTGAAGCCTCATGGGCTGTAACCCCCTGCCATAATAAACACATACCCATTCCATCTTCAAGCCATCTCTTCCCTCCCCAAGATTTCCCCATAAATGAAGGACAGTCCTGCAGACATTAACTCCTCCACAAGTTTACTTTGGCAAAGGAAGGCAGCAGATTTCCTACTGGCCAGAACCACGAATTTCTTCAAGAATAGCGTCTCTTATTTATTTATTTATTGCAGTGTGACTAGCCAAAGTTTTCTTTCTGCACAACTATCAAGAAATGTATAGATCCAGCTAACAACGTCAGAGTTAGCTCACCCAAGTTATGCCTGTTTCATATAATTCCAGTCCCCAGAGACAGCCCCTTACTAGCCTGGTACTAGCCTTCTGTGCCCACCCTGTGCATCCCCTTAACCAACAGCCAATGCCCAGCAACACCTGGCCTACAAAGCTGCACCTCAGCCAATGCACCTGGTCAAGAGATACCAGCCACCGCCACAGTCAAAGAACAGAACTCCATAGGCCAATACACACACCCTTTCACACAAGCCTCTTAGACCTGGGCCCCCAACAAACGTTTTCTGTTACTGAGAATGAACTTACCCCTCAAACCCTCTTTTGGCCCCTGCTCTTATCAGGCCTTCCTAAATCTTGTCCCACAGCCCAGTGTGAACTCCCTATCTCCAAACAGCAGTGCTGTAAGACCGTAAGGCCTTCTCATGCCTACCCCACAAGCCCAGGGACTCCCTGCATAGTCTGCTGCCTGTCCCACAACGGCCTCCAATTAACCAGTGAAGCCGCACTAGCAGCTTCCCCATGATTAACAGCCAGCCACAGAGCCGACTTACCAAGCCTCCCCAAACGCCAGACCCACAGCGGCCTCACATCATCCCTTTAGACTCCTCTCCCCACCAGTCTTCACTGCGATAGGGTTGCCAAATCCAGGCTGGGAAATGCCTGGAGACTTGGGCGTGGAGGGTGAGGTTTGGGGAAGGGAAGGACCTCAGGGGGGGCATAACGCCGTAGGCAGAGTCCACCCTCCAGCGCAGCCATTTTTCTCCAGGGGAACTGATCTCTGTAGTCTGGAGAGAACTTTGGGGTTCCACCATTCCTGCCCCCCTCACTTACATTTAACACTTTCCTTTCCGACATCTTGTTCCTTCAGGGCAGTTCGGACTCTCCTCTCCGCAAACGCTCAGGACTTCCGGGATTCCAACCAGTTCCCGCCTCTCCCGCTCCTATTGGCTGCCGCGTTGTAAAATCTGCACCTCTATTGGCTTCTGCGGCCGTCTGTTAAAAGTGAGCCTCGCCCTATTACCTTTCCGAGCGTGCAGCCGGGACGTGCGTGCATCCTTTGTTAAAAGTGGTCCGGTAGTGCAACAAGCTATGGAAGAAAGGTTCCGTTTGGAGAAATTAGGCTGAGCTACCCGAGTTGGTCTCGGGGCTCAGAACAGGAATGTGTTTGTTTCTAAAACAAGACGGGAGTTCCTGTGAAATGGTGAGGAGTGGCTCTGTTGGGTAGATCAAAATCTCATTGAGGTCTGAATTCGGATTACTAGCTGTGGACCGGGAGATTTGGGGGGTGGAACCTGAGGAGGGCAGGGTTTAGAGAGGGGGCAAGAACTCAGGAACAATACTAACTTGTCTTCTAATTTCCAGTGAGTTAATAAACTATGAGCTGATCACTGTGCCACGTGTCTGAACTCAGTGAAAATACCATAGAGCCTACCCGGCAGGAAAGCCATTTTCTCCATAGGGACTGATCTCTGTAGTCTGGAGATCAGTTGTAATTCCAAACGATCTCCAGGCCCCACCGGGAGGCTGGAAACACTAGGCAGAGTGGCTCTGAACATGTGCATTTAAAGTAGCTTGTGAACATATGTAATTTTTTTCTCCTCCCAAAACTATATATTTTTAAAAAATATTGTGCCTTTGATCATACACAAGAGTTCTTTTCTCCCAAATTGGGAAATATTCCTTTCAGGAACAACTCAAAGTTTATAATATCTCTGGGTATGCACAGAGTTCCTTTCTCTTCTAAGTGGAAAAGTTTTTTTAAAAAGCAGATGAGGATGAAATTCCTCGATGCATATATGGAGTTCTTTTTAACCCAAGTGAGAAATAATCCTTTTGAAAAATCATAAAGGAAGTGGCCCTGTAATGTACTCCGCCATGACCACGTGCGCGACCGTTGGGCCATGCGGTCATGCAGAGTGCTGTAGCTTCACTCTGATAGAACAATAGCCGAGCGGATCCTAGCCCGCACCTATCAGAGGGCCAGGTCCGCAGCCGAGAGCCTATGGGACTCTCGGCCACTGTAAATAGCCTATAGAGAAGTAGGGGGTGTGTTTGCTGGTGGGTTTTGCAGAGCATATAAACCGGCCTGCGAGCCGGCTTACTTTGTCTTGTTCCGGCTGAATAAAAGTACTCTTGCTGAAATCACTCAACGTTTCTCAGTACTTTTCACTGGCGATGAAGATGGGATTCTACCTTCCCTGAACAACGACCCTGACGAGATCAAGCATCGCACCGAGCCCGATCCAGACCGCCGCATGCCGCGCCGCTTCGCTCTGGGATCACCACCAACGCACCGCGCCTCGCTCCGTCAGCCGAAGCAAACCTCCGCTTTTTCGCTTCCGCTTTTCTTCGCTTCCAGCAATTCCAAGACGACATTGCTCTCTAGACGTGACCATGTCTTCTCCAGTTACCTCCGCGGCATCCTCCTCCGCCTCCATCTCCGCCTCAACCTCGTCCGAGGGCATCGCTCGTTTCGACCTCTCTCATCCCGAGCAATGGAAAACATGGGTGGTGATCCTCAACAACTACCTAACCTGTTTGGGAATCACCGACGCAGGTATGAAGAGGGCCCATCTCATCCGTTTCTGTGGGATGGACGCCCTCCTTCTCTTGCAGGACTTGATTGCACCCCGGGAGGTAGAGGAGGAGAGTTTCGATGTGCTCATCACAACTCTCACCAACCACCTCGCTCCAACGCCCACCAAGTTCGCTGAGCGCATGGACTTTTTCGCTAGAGTCCAAGGCCCAGAGGAGAGAGCCGCCGAGTTCCTGGCGGGCCTACGTCGGGCCGCCACGCAGTGTGCTTTCCCCAGCCTGGAGGACACACTGCTCAACCAGTTCCTGGTTGGCCTTCGGGAGGCGAAACTGAGGAGGCGCTTGGTCAGGCAGGATGACCTGACACTGGCCAAGGCGTTGCAGGATGCAGTGGCTTTCGAGTCAGCGCATCAAGGCCGCGGCGGAACCGCGGTCCATCGCACCCGAACCGTCTCGGAGTCGGCCGACTCCGAGGAAGACGAGGTCTTTCAAATTCACCGGAAACCCTCGCACACTCACCGCTCGAGGGGAACCCCGCCAACGAGGACATCTGAGCCAGCCCCACCATGTGCCAGCTGCGGAGAGGCGCATGAGCGCCGGAACTGCCGTTTTCGCGACACCATCTGCCGGACTTGCAACAAGCAGGGCCACATCGCAAGGGTCTGCCGCAGCCGCCGACAGCAATCCAGGAAGGCAGCACACCAGGCGGAGCCGATCCACACCGTGGACCTGCACTCCATCGACCTCCACGCCGTCGCCCCCCAGCCCCAGGTAGGTGAAATGCTCCGGGACGGCCGAAACAAAGTCCACGTTTCGGTCCGTATACAGGGGTCCCCCTGTAGCATGGAGATAGATACCGGTTCCGAGTTTACAATTATCTCGGAGGAGATACTGCGGAAAGTGTGTCCCAAGGGGGGGGGCTCTCTGCGCAAGCCACACTTTAAGTTGCAGGATTTTAACAAGAATCCAGTGGCTGTGCGGGGCTGGGGCAAGTTCATGGTGGAGTTCCAGGATTTCAAGGGATGCCTGGACATTCTAGTGGTGGGCGGTCGGCTTTCCAACCTACTGGGGATGTCCTGGTTTAAGCCGCTGGGCTTGACCATCGGGGGGCTCCACCAGCTGCAGCGGGTAGATTTCATGGAGGTGTGTAATGAGTTCCCGCAGGTTTTCGACGGGTCCCTCGGCCGGTTCACCGGGCCGCCCATCTCCCTTGACTTGGACCCCGCGATCCGACCCATCCACATCAAGGCCCGGCACACACACCCCCCCATCGCGATGAGGCCAAAGATTGAGGCGGAACTGGACCGGTTGGTGGCCCAAGGGGTGCTGGAACCGGTGGCGTCCGCCCGGTGGGAAACCCCCATCGTCACCCCTGTTAAGTCTAACGGGGACGTCAGGATCTGCACGGACTACAAGTGCACCCTGAACAAAGCACTGCAAGACCACGCGTACCCCGTACCGGTGGTCAGCCACGTGCTGGCGGCACTTGCGGGGGCCCGCATATTCAGAAAGCTGGACTTGGCACAGGCCTACCAGCAGCTGCCGGTCGACGCCGCCACAGCGGAAGCCCAGACAATTGCCACTCATAAAGGGGCTTTCGGGGTCCACCGGCTCCAGTTCGGGGTTTCTGTGGCACCGGGGATTTTTCAATCTTTTATGGATTCTCTCCTCAAAGGTATCCCCGGTGTACAACCCTTTTTAGATGATGTGCTGATTGCCGCCCCCGACTCCGCCTCGTTCGCCGACTGCCTTCGCACCGTTCTACAACACTTCGACCAAGCGGGGCTGAGGGTGAAGCGCGAAAAATGCCTGCTTGGTGTCCCCAAGGTGGAGTTCCTCGGGTTTGCGGTGGATGCGCAGAGCATACATCCCACGGCGGAGAAAACGACGGCGATCTCTAACGCTCTCGCCCCTACTTCTAAAACTGAACTGCAGGCCTTCTTAGGCCTACTAAATTTCTATCATTCATTTCTTCCCTTGAAAGCAGCTGTGGCGGAACCTCTCCATCGGCTCTTAGACAAGGGCGCACCGTGGGTCTGGGGACCGGCGCAGAAGGCGGCGTTCCAGGTGGTGAAGGAACTTCTCATCTCAAACTCGGTCCTCGCACATTTTAACGAAGACCTGCCGGTCGTCTTGGAGTGCGACGCCTCTCCATATGGGGTCGGGGCGGTTTTGGGGCACCAGCTGCCGGACGGCCGGGAGGTCCCAGTAGCATACTACTCCCGGACCTTGACGGCAGCTGAGCGCAATTACGCGCAAATTGATAAGGAAGCGCTAGCGATAGTGGCCGGGGTGAAAAATTTTCACCATTACCTGTACGGCCGGCCGTTCACGATCTTGACTGACCACAAGCCTCTCCTGGGTCTGCTCGCCCCAAACTGCCAGACCCCCCAGATGACCTCGCCCAGGGTGATTCGGTGGTCCGTTTTGCTGGCAGGTTACAACTACGCACTCCTACACAGGCCCGGAAAAGCGATGGGACACGCCGACACCCTGAGCCGCCTGCCTCTTCCCACGACCGATCCAGCCCCAGCCCACCAGAGTGCACTGCTGGAGACCCTGCCCGACCAGCCGGTCCATGTGCGAGAGGTGGGGATCCGATCCTCTGCCGCGTCCTAGACTGGGTGAGAAGGGGGTGGCCGGTGGCCGCTGCGGGGCCAGAGTTCACAGCCTACGCCTCCCGTAAAGAGGAACTGTCCGCTCACAAAGGTTGTGTGATGTGGGGAGGCCGGGTGGTGATCCCTTCCCCTCTTCGAGACTGGGTGCTGGCAGCACTGCATGAGGCTCACCCAGGTGTGGTACGGATGAAGGCCCTGGCTCGGAGTTATGTGTGGTGGCCCGGCCTGGATCAGGACATCGAGGGACAGGTGAAACAATGCCAGCCCTGCCAGGCCTCCCGGCCGGCACACACACACCCCGAGCTCCCGCGAGGGCTTGGGAGTCCTCACACAAACCCTGGTCCCGGCTACACTTGGACTTTGCGGGGCCGTTCCAGGGCCAGATCTTTTTCATCCTGGTCGACGCCTACAGCAAGTGGCTGGAGGTGGTGCCCGTGCCGTCAACCTCCTCCAAGGCGGCATCAGGGCGATGTGGCACATCTTCAGCGCCCAAGGCCTTCTGGATACCTTGGTAACGGACAACGGGATGGCTTTTACCTCGAGCGAGTTCCAGGAATTCACGAGGTATTACGGGATCCGCCACGTCCGATCAGCCCCGTTCCACCCAGCTACGAACGGCCAGGCGGAGCGCATGGTGTGCACCACCAAAGAAGCGCTTCGCCGGTTCGAGAGCAAGGACTGGGACTATAAGTTGGCAGCGTTCCTGTTTGGTCAGCGGACGACCCCACACACCGAGACAGGGCGCAGCCCGGCCGAG